AAAATCTGGACGAAGTTACATGATGTATAAACCCAAAAATAACGATTTTAGTTATTTTGTTGCAATTTAAAAATATTATACATCCTTGAGTTCTCGAAACTTTTAAAGTTGGCGCTTTAGTATACTTTTATTTATTTTTTTATTTATTTATTTTTTTATTGAAGATAAAAGTTTATTTACAATCTATACATACAGTGTATAATAAGTAAGTGTGGTGACTTAAAAAGTAGTATACTTATCTCATTATATTTTATCCACACAATGACATTTTCAAATACAATTTTTTTGACAAAAATGAATTTAACCTACTATGTAATACACCTATTTACTATAGTATACTATACCTATATATTATTATATATAATACAATAGATACTTACAATAATACCATAAAATATACCTATTTACTATTTAGTAATACTATAGGCAGACGATCATCTTCCCTCAGAAATGTTTTTCGTATACAATGAATTATAATATAATAATTGATTTCAAATTTAACAGATCCAATATATGTGGTGACTCCCTATGTACACCTAAACCTAATGAACAACACTTAGGTACCAGCTTATAAATGTTGAAAATACAATTTTAATTGTTTTAAGAACCGTTGAGATATGTCAGAGATCAAAGTTCACATGTTATGTTTATGGATATATAGATGTATTATCAATTATATTTCATAACATTTTTTATAGTATTTAAAAGTCATTTATARTTATAAAACGTTTATCATAAGTCACTTTGTGCTTCTTTTTTTCTTCTAAATGTTTTGTTCACCTTTTTGTATTTGAACCATCTGATTAAATATTAAGTACCTGTTTATAAAATGATTATGCGACTATGCGAGTGAGCCGTTGKGTATGACGTTTTTTCTTTAATAATAAAACCGAAACTAAAAATGTGTATAATGTAAGGTTTCGAGCTATCATTGGTGTTTATTATAATTTGAGCTAGATTTTWATGAGTCCATATCATAGACCTCAGTGGCGCTGAACCCTAGTTAAGGTCCGGCTGCGTATGGCCTGACATATTTTTAAAATTTAGGATAGGGCCGCTTCATAWATTGACCACTTCCCTCTGCGCGGTCGCCATTTTCGCCGATATTAAGATATTGAGCCTCTTGAAAWTTTTTTCGCCCTACTAGATTTTTAGGATTTCGGCGCCACTGAATTAGACCTATAATGATATATTGAAACATTTTTATATGCCTGTTTCTATGGTCCATATCCGAGTAGTGTGAACGAGGCTATGAGGGGCATATATTATTATTAGTATATGATCTAAGGGGTTAAGTATAGGCAACTCATCGGTCTTAGGTGATGCAAGGTTTKTTTTTATCATAGTCCGTGGTCATATCTATTTATTTATTATCTATAGAAAATGATCACTGATATTATTCTGTGATTAAACTTATCACTTATGGCTATGACTTAATATGAATAGGACTGGTATGGTATTCACGCATTATAATTAAATTTGAAATATCGTTTAAAAATCTTCAACCTCTTAACTAGTAACTATACTAATTAGTAATTAGCGATAGTCTCGAGGAGTCTAATCCTGTGTTGTTCATGGATTTATTGGATTCTCGTTAAAAAGTGTAAAAAGCCACTTTAAATTATGGTATGTCTTTAACACTTTGTTGATTGTGGAAGTAATGCGGAAAAATAATTACACTTGGTTTAGTTTTCTGATAATTTAAGTATACATTTTTTTTTTTTTTTAAATTATTTTTCAGTCGACGATTTTCGCTGCCCGACAATTTTCCACTTCTTCCGTTAGCAATCACATAATGAAACTAACCCGCCTGCGTGTGGTCGACAACAGCACAATTGGCAAGCAAGCAATGGCTGAAGGTAAACCCCCACGTTGCATACACGTTTACAATAAGAAAGGTATCGGAACGATCGGTGACAAAATAATGGTTGCCATCAAGGGTGAAAAAGTAAAAGCTATCATTGTTGGCTGTGTCAAGGAACAGAAACCCAATATTCCCAGGTTTGACAGCAACAATATAGTGTTGATTGATGATAACGGCACACCACTTGGAACACGTATAAATGTTCCAATTCCAATTGTCCTTAGGACTATATTAAAAGAAAAAACTTTCTCAAAAGGAGCTGATTACACTAAATTGTTGGCTATWGCTTCAACTTATGTGTAAATAGTAGTTTTAGGTATATATATAAATTTAGYTGTATATTTTTTCAATGTTATTTGTGTACTGTAAGAATAAAAATGTATTAGAAATTGTTAATTCTTTTAAAACATTTTCTGGTAGTTGCAGTATGGAATATATTAAAAAGGTCCATGGTCACCCAATAAAAAAAAAATGYGATTGATWAATRATATATACATGCATTATTTTGGAGAAAAAAACATTCTWGATATCTATGAGTATAGGATTACAGTGTAATCAATTGTCAAATAACAATAATAAAATGGATTTATTTATTTAAACTTGGACAAAAATGTAAAAGTAATGAGAATTAATATATGAAAGGGAATTTAAATAATCATCATTTGTTTCATGTTTCAAACTTACCAATTACTATATTTWGAATGTTTAGATGAGAAAAGTATGCATTACATATCTTGTTATATTTGTTATTACTAAATACATTTTTTTGAGCAGTTTGAAATTATAAACTAATATCAGTTTTGAATTACAGAATTTGTTTTTACATTTTTYTGCATAGAAAATAATTCAAGTTGAGTATACCATTTWTCGATGATTGAAAATTGAATGTAAACATTAAAAGGATGTCTGGGCAATATTTGTATTCTTTTTGACTCAGGCGTAACWTAAATAAAATTATTKCATCTAAAATCGTTTTGTTTTTTAATGTTTTTCGAATAACCTTAAGATAAAATCACCTGTTACACAAGTTATAGAGGATAATATTTTATTTTTAAGAATATGACATATYGGTTTCATATTTTATTTTTATTTGACTTTCAAAGTAAAATACAATTTTTTTAATTTTAAATGAYATTTAAATTATTTTGAGACAACATTTAGACAAATCAATGTCATTTCCTCAAAAATATTATTCTCTATTGATTTTGGAATGGGCGATTCAACTCAATAATTACTCAAAAACATTAAAAAAATTATTCAGCCTTGTGAATGTTTTGAAGAATGGAATTTCAATATAATATATTTATATTTTATATAAAACATAAATATGTTGAGTTATGAAGAATATRCCTAATAAAAATAATAAAAAATATTATAACATGAAAATAATTTATTTAAAAAATATAAATATGTTTTTATATATTATAATATTACACCTTGTAATTTTTAATATATTTTTTTTCATATCACATTCAATTCAACTTCATATTGTTGGTCCAAACCTAGGTAACAATCTGACATCATGTAAAAAGTCCAATTTAAAAAACCTATAAAAATGAAAAAGTAATACAAATTAAAAAAATATTATATCGCATAAATAAATATTAGATTGCAGGTTTTAAAAATAATTTTGTTGGTGTAAATTCTTAAGGATCATTAAGTATTTATTGTATAAAAAAAAATATGATTATATATTTTTATAGTTATTTACCAGGTTTTGTGGGTGTATTGAATGCTAGTCTGCTAGAAGTTGTTCTATAGCGGTTATTGGTACTACGTTTAAGTGCTATCAGCTCCCATTGTTCTATTGAACCAAGAATCATAAACCAACCAACATCCTTTGGTTTGGAAAATTTTGGTGCATATGCTTTTGATGGTATTATACGATTGAGGATTTTTATTTCTGCAACTAATGTATACTCCGACCCTGCCAAAATTTCTATTCGTTTACCATTCTCTACAGGTTTCTATAAAAATGATAAATATTAGTTTTCATATGGTTTAATTGAAAATTTTATAAAATTGAATTGTGTGAAAATATTGTCTACCTTTTGAACTTCTTCACTATCAGACCAATTACCTTGAATAAATAGAYGTACTTCTACAACTGGTATATCTATAATAGTTTTAAATGCCTAAAATAAAAAATAAAGTTACACAGTTTAAAAAATATCATAAGTAGAAATTAATATTTTTACTAAATTTTACTTTTTCAATTTCTTCATGTTCAAGTTGAGTTTTTAACATAATTTCTTCAAACAATTTATAACTTTTAAGAGCCAAATTGCATAGATGGGGCAAGCTAAGCATCGGCAACACTTTAGATGGTATCAAATGTTTCTCTACATCAGGTAAAGTAATAACAGGTGGATCAGTCACCCATCGGGCTTGAATAATCATTTGCATCAGTTGTACTAATCTTAAACACAGCACCAAATAACCAGCTTCCGCGCTAATATCTATCATTGCTTGTAAAATACGTATAGATTGGTCTAATACCGACTTGAGATCAGTTATATAATCTGAACATGKCATTTTCAAACGGGAGAAATGTGCTTGAAGCAAAATCAATGTTTTGGTATGAGAACATTCATATAGACGACTACCAACATCAATAGGACATTGTTTGTCTAATTCTCTGTGTACAAAATAAAAGTGTTTTAAAGAAAAATTATAGTGTTTACTTATTTGACTTACGTATTCATGAGATCTTCGTTATGTCTAACTGGTAGTAAACTAAACTCCTCGGCATCAACCAAGACTTTTATTAAATCATTCATACTAAGTTCACCCTTTAATCTCTCTTGAAAAGTTTTAACTGTTTTATGTTGTAAATAGTAATAAGAAGAAATATGACCTAATGAAGTAGGTCTTAAAGTACGCTGATCCTAAATTTAAAAGTGATTAATTGTTTACCTCTATAATATCAAAGGATGGTTTTATTAATGTACCTCGTCGATTTCCACACAATAACTAGAATATAGAGTTCCAATACATCGTTCAACTAAATCAGAAAGAAATGTGTTTATAGAACTTTCCTCCAAGCTATGTAATCCATAATATTCTGGGTTTTTCATCAGTCTTTGTATAAGATATGTCCAAGTCAAATATTCAATGGCATCTTGTTTTGTTTTAATAGTTCCAGCCACTATTTCAGCATTAAAATGGTCAGGCAATACCTCTAACAAGGATGATTCGACAGGAAAAGGTTCRTACAAAAATTTTTTATAAAAAGTTTTTTTTATGTCATGAACCTAAAAAAGATATAATAATATAAGTTACAACGTATAAAATTAACAAATTTTTTAGATTTTAGATTTTTACCATTATGAGTGCTATTCCCATATTATCATATTGAGGTCGTCCTGCTCTTCCCATCATTTGTAACACATCTGTAATTGGCATGTCAACATATCTTTTGAGTTTTCCATCATAAAATTCAGTACCTTTTACTATWACAAAGTGTGCAGGAAAATTAACACCCCATGCCAGAGTTGAAGTAGCTATTAAAACCTTAAAACAAACAAAATTATTGTTTTGTTATTTGGTTATATTTCAATAAAAAGAGTGTTCATATTTTACTTGAATATGTTGGTTAACAAATAATTCTTCAACAATCTTACGGTCTCGATCTTGTAATCCAGCATGATGTAAGCCTAAACCAAAAGCAAGACAAAGCTTCAAATTTGGATCTTTAATATTTTCAATGATTTGATCCATTTCCTACAAAATAATTATTTTAACAAAAATCTTTTCCATATAAAAAAATATTAAATTTGTAATAATTTTATTTTACATAATCGCTTTTCCGAACCCACTGCTTAGGGTTATCTTCTACACCTAAGTAGGCAATCAAATCTAATGCAGTTAGTCGGGTTTGTCTCCTCGAAGACACAAAAATCATAACTGGTTGGGTTGGAGAGTGTTGTCTAATAGCTTGATAAATAGGTTTGTTCATGGTTGCCATTCTTGGACAATAATTTCTTCCAGCATAGCCACTAATGTGTACTTCTAGAGGAACTGGCCTCACAGATGGACGGAAATTGTAAAGCCCCATTTCTCCTATGTGTAACCAAGCTGCAAGATCAGCAGCCGTTGATAAAGCAGTTGTCAAGGCTACAAGACGAGTAWGTTGTCCTGTATGCGTTGATATAAAATTTAATCTAGATATTATTATCTCTAACACTGGACCACGATCTTCACCCAAAAGATGAACTTCATCAAGTACTACTAAAGCTACTTGACGGACATAGTTACGGGTTTGCCAACTACGAGAAACACCGTCCCATTTTTCTGGAGTAGTAACAATCACGGATGAATTTGAAATGGMTCTTATGTCAGGTGTGACATCACCTTAAAACAAAATTAATTCCAAAATCAAATCAAACTAATTTTTTAATTTTTTGATTTAAAAAAATAATGACTATCTTAATAACTCAATAATAAGTGTTCCGCGTTAAAATAAAATACCTGTTAATTCCACAACTGATTTTTTTAATTTCTCTTCTAATCGTATTTTCCAATCATTCATACGTTCTCTAACAAGTGCTTTTAATGGAGCTATATACACTACCTAAAAACACATGATTTCATTCAATATAACCAAATTATTTATTGAACTTTATAATAATTTTATATGCATTATTACTTTGGCATCTGGCTGTTCATTGAATACTCTGAACATAGCAATTTCAGCCGCTATTGTTTTACCAGATCCRGTAGGCGCTCCTAAGAGTACATTATTGTCAGTATGATATAAACAGTGAAATATTTGTGTCTGTATTGGATTAAAGTGTGTAAAACTATATAAAGACTGATAATTTTGATTTTTAAGAGCAGATATTGGTAATGGCTGAAGTTCCAATAAATCTAAAATACAATTTTTTTTGTTAAAAAAAAACTTATCTSAAGATTGTTAATATACATACCTGTCACTGAAGCATGACTATGTGGTATTATAAGATGCTGGAATGTTAATGGTGTAGTAAATGTTGTACCTAACCATCGGTCTGATGTACAATGTAGTATATATTGTGATGGTAATGGTTCAACCAAAGGTATGGTAAATATTAACTTTTGAGTTTCTTTTCTAACAACCTTAAAAATATACACATTATCTTAAGAAAATTCACAGGAAATTAACAAAATTAAATCTTTTTTCAGTACCTGATTTTTAGTAATAAGAAACTGTTCCCAATGGTATATCATGTCTGTTTCCGGATCTTCGATCCAAATCCAAAATGCAACTGATGTTTTACCATGAAACCTATCATTCCATCTGAATTACAAAATTATATAATTTATAGATACAACAAGTAAGAACAGAATTTTATAAAAGTTGTTATGTTACATACTCAAATTCTGGGAATATTTCTAAATTTATTCTTAAAATAGTTCTAGTAATAGGTTGAATACTTTCAGTAGCTTCAATATATGGAAGTTGCATGGCACACTTTTTAACAGCAGCACCTACATTTTGATTTCTAAGAATAATACCTAATTCTTTTGCATCCATTTCTCGAATACGGCTAAATGATAATTTTCTTTGCTCAATTTTATCTATAATTTCCCAAGGAAGAACATCAGAAAATTGTCGTAATTCAGATTCAAATTCCCATTGCGTCATTTCAAACATTTGACAAATTTCTAATAATTTAGCTGACATCATTGCATTATTACGACGTAAAACCATGTCAAATAATGCCCGTGCAATTCTTGTTGCATTCTATTGAAAACAAATTATTTAMACATTATTTTRTTAAAATACAACAACAAATTATCAATTATCAATATAAACTTTAAATTTACTTGTGAGATATACACCAGGTCAGATATTAATGAAAAAGATTTAGCTCTACCACGTGCGAGATATGTTTGTAAAAGTATATTAACTTTACCATTCACATTTACAGCTGAACTTTGGCAATCAACATGACAATATTTACGAGCTAATGTTTCTAACTCAATAACTTCATCATCACGGACCTTTTAAATAGATTTTAAGTTAATTTTTATGTTAATTTTAGTATACATATTTATTATATAATATTATATATTTATTAAAATAAACCTTTAACTGATCAAATTCTTTTGCACTAGAAATCATTGATAATATTTCTGACATATTCATAAAAGGCTTTAGACATTGATTAAATATTTCAATACTGTCATAACTAATATAGAAATGACTAGCTGTGCGACCCATATCTATAAAATAAAATACTTATAATTGAAATACAAAACATTTTTATTAAATAATTAAAATTAGTATTGAACCTGTAGAAGAAAGATCTCCAGTTCTTTCGTTGTAACGTAACATTTGTGCTCTATCTAAAGCCATTGCTGCACTAATTATAAATTCTTTTCTTTTGTTGACTAACATTGGATCTAACTAAGTAATCACAGTAAAATAAATAAGTAAAGATGAATTAAAAAGAACACTGTAAAGTTTAATTACTTCAACTTCTTCAAGTGATATGCCATAGACATGAGGATTTATACGCATTCTAACAAATAAATAAGTATAACTAAGCCACATAACAGCTTCCTCGACATTTGATATTGTCCCTAACACAACCTAAAAATAGCAAAATATTAAATTATTTGTTAATGAAAAAATGGCTAGCACTAATGACTTAATAATACATACCTCAGCATTCAAATTATTAACAAGATGTTGTACAAAACAACTTTCAATTGGTATTTGATTGGTAAGTAACGATAAGTATTTGTGAAGTTTGGAGTGTGGGGTAATAATCATTCCATGTCCAGAAGTATCAAACTGAGGTCTTCCAGCACGACCAAATATTTGTAAAACATCAAGCATACCCAGATCTATAAATGTTCCATGCTTTGAATCATATATWTCTGTCCCCTATAAATTATTTTATTTATTTATTTAAAAACATTAAACCAAGCAAGATAGTATTTAATATTTTTAATCAAATATGATATAGTATCTATAACACTAAAATAAATTATAATCATAATATTATTTTATTTAAAAAAATAATTTTGAACATTTAATAGGTTTATTAAAATATATTATTTACCTTAATTATAACT